CGATTCAGTGTCATGATTTGTGATTTATTTCATTCTTTTTCCATTAAATTAAGATAATTAAATCATCTTAAATTGTTATTGGGATTGACACAAGTTCTACCTAGTACCGGACCGACGATGCAGGTCTATGTTCATCGGACATTTTTGGCCCTAAAATCAGATCCATCGAGGACAAGAGTCAACTTGATCCACAAGCAGGCCAATGACCACATCGCCCTTAAAGGAAGCCACTTTGATTCCTGAAACAAGAATTAGAGTTCTATGCCAAACACCTACTTTTTTATAATTAAAATGCCAAACACCTACATTTGCTTCCTAGAATTAAGAAAATCTAGAATCCGTTCTTTTTGGATGGATTGTAAGGATGATAAATTCTAGAATTGATGCCCAACAGAGCCTAAAACAAATTACTTTTAAATTTCATCTAGAAGAGCAAAGAGCATATACAAAAGAACTACTCTTAAGAGGGTAAAAAGTGCAGGAACAGAAGGTTGAAGTAGTGGCGTACAACAGATGATAAAGAAGCAGTAATCAAGGATTGTTTTGAATTAGCAACTTAAGTAGAAGAGCAGGTCTTAAAGTTGAGATAGAATGCCAATTGGAAAAATAAATCATTGCCCAGTCTGCCATCAACTATCAATCATATCATCACTCAAGCACCAATTTTCGGGAATCAAATTTTAAAGACTGAGTGAAATTCCCAATCACTTTCTAAGCTCTGGATGACTCCTATTTGGCTCTAGCTTAAAAACGATCTTATCAAGACAAGACATTTTCACTTAATAGTTACCCACCAAAATAAAGGTAAGACTTTTTTATTCATTGATTCTTACCTAAATTCCTAAAAGGTGTATCACTTATAAAGCAATACCTACCATGGTTTCAAATGTCGCCAAATGTCGCTAATGTCGTCCGACATATGTCGATGTCGAGGCTCACTGACATGAAAATGGATGGTAATATAAAAACTACATTATTTCAGTCGACACTTCCTATATTTCAAAAATGTCGACCAAATCAGTCCAAATAACCAAAAAAAAACACTTTTTCCTATTATGTCGACAAGATGTTGACTAATGTACATTAATAATATAATATATTAGTATATTATATTAATATAATACAGTATATTAATATAAATTATTCCATTAATAATATCTATTTAATATTTCAAATAAAATATTTATAAAAAAGAATTAACAAAATATAAAAACAAAAGAATAAATTAATTACTTTATAATATAAAACRTAAAATATTTTTCAAGTAATAAAATATTAACTAGTTAGTATCTTTAAAATATTTTTTGAAATCAGAAAATGTTTATTAAATTTTATAATAAATCATATTCTACATTTAATTTAGTATTAAAAATCATAATAAATTCATTAAGTTTTATAAGAAATCAGAATTTATCATAACCTTAATACTACGAAAAGGAGAATCACTTTGTTATATTTATAACAAAACATAATGTATTATAACTTTAATATTTAAAAAATCAGAATAAATGTATTTTTATTTTCTAGTGTAAAATAAATATTTTAGAATTTATAATAAATCAGAATTAAAAATAAGAAAAGAAAATATCAGATAACCTTGTAAAAACATCAAAATGCATAATAAACCAATAAATCATCATTTACTAATTTGTTGTTGATCTTAGTTTCTTAGCTTTATATRATGGTTGGGAATAAGATAATAGTCTAGAAATGTATTAATGCTTCTTTTATCATTTTACAAAATATCATCGCATATTTCCACATATTTCATAATATTTCCACAATGTCTCTAATTTTCACAATATTTCCCTCGACATTTCCGACATATGTCCCATATTTTGGTAAGCGACATTTCCATCGACATCAACATTTTAAACCTTGATACGTACACAAAATAAATCCTAAAACAAATAAACCACATACTTAAAAACTAAAATAACCCAAATGGCAACATATTGACGCATGAATGAGTGGAATGATCTTGGGCTTGCCAGAAATGTAGTTGAATAAAATTTGCAATGATGCCAAATAAAGAAAAAAATGAAGTTGCACCATCTCAAGTTTAGGACACAATGATATAGTTGAGATAGGGCCTCTACAGTTTCAGCTTGAGGCCCAATCATTCAACAATAACTTTGAATATCAGCTCCTTTATATCCTGCAACATTAAGCATTATAATCTACCAAACTCAGCCACATCATTGATCTATTAGATGGAGTTATCCCCTCAAACATTACCATGTAGGAGCTCCCTTTTCATTTTATCTAACAGGTGATAGATAAAATATATTTCATGGCAATCATCACAGGGAATCAAATCTTAAATATTCCTTACAGAAAAGCTACACTTAAATATTTATTTTCAATTAGACTGCTAAACATATATGTACCCAATAATTTCTGATAGTAAATGCATCCAAAATCAAAAAATGGATAAACTATATATATAAATTTCTGAAGGCCACTCTATTAGAAAAAGAAAATATTCACTCATAGAGACTAGGATCATAACAAGAAGGGTATTGGCAAAGGAAAAGAGATCTGGAGACTCATACTGGTACACTTGGATTGTCTCTTGAAATCTCATTTCCTTTTTCCCAAAGGGTGTTACTTTTTTTCTAATTTGAAATTGGGGAGGGAACAAGGTAGAATTAATTTAAAGGGACAAGAATAATACAATGAAGAATCCAACACATGCATGACCAGAAAGAGGATGACAAAGGAAAAGCAGGTAGCAGTACAGATATGTTTGCATACTCTCAAGTAACCTTTTTGTACATTCCCATTAGGCAGTACAAGTCAGGTATCCAGTTTGAACAATTTACACTGCATTAGACCTGGGCTATTGGGCTGGGCCATTTCAAAATTAACAAATGCTCAAGCCAATCCCACCTAAGTTGCACCCCTAATTCCCATGTGATGCAAGAGATGAAGAGTCGAAATTGGAATTTTATGATATTTTATGTATTTCTGTATCTTTTTGACAATAGGGGTATTTTTGTCATCTTGCAATTTTCTGTGGGGTCCAATGATTGGGTTTAAATTGTCTAGTTATAGTTTGTTTATGTTTAAAATTTCAGAGTCATTGCATAAGTAGGATTAGAGTTATTGAGTCTTCTTTGAATTGAAATAGGATATGACAAGTTTGAGTCCTACTATGTACTAGGATTATCTAGTCTAACAGTTTGACTCCTAGGATTATTATGAATTTAGAGTTTATAAATATGTATGGACGTTTTACACAAAGGCAATAAAGTTTATTGAGCTTTCTTCAGCTTATGCTAGCTATGGTGAGTGATTCCAGGTATTTTCTCTCTTATTTCTCTCCCTATTTTCTCTCTTATTCCTTCAAGAAGCCATTACAGCCATCGACAGCCATAAAACTCTAATCAATAAGACCATTCAACATTCTCTAAGGACTAGAACCGAGCTGGTCCTACATCAGTTTGGTATCAGAGCTAGTAGTTTATTCACTATGTTCTCACAAAGTGACCAATTCTATAGGCCCAGGGTATCTTCTCACAAAGTGACCAATCATTGATGATTGGGTTTCTGAACCATATGAAGGGTCTCTGGTTGACTTATTTGAGAAGAAGGTGGAAGAAAACAGATCTAATAATGTTGGCTACGGGAGCAAGGTTTTCAAACATGTTAGAAGAGAAAGGGAAATACCAGATTTCAAAGGAGATGATGATCCACAAGCATTCTTTGATTGGGTTGCTAAGCTAGAAGAATATTTTGATTGGGATGATATGTTTGACAAACAAAGGATTAGATTTGCACGCATGAAGCTGACGGGCCATGCTAAAGTATGGTGAACTCTTGAGCAACGACTAGAAAAAAGAGGTGAGTGATTCCCATGCCCTAGTGTGATTCTAGACACCCTGTGAGTGATTCCAGGTATTTTCTCTCTCCTTCCTCTCCCCATTTTCAATCTTATTCCTTTAAGAAGCCATTACAGCCATTGACAGCCATAAAACTCTGATCAAGAAGATCATTCAACATTCTCTAAGGACTAGAACTAAGCTGGTCCTACATCACCATGGCTCAGTCCCTTGGTGTACATGGGTGCCTGATGTAATCTCACAATTTTCAGTAATACAATACTTCAACCTTTCAAAAGAAATAAATAACTCTCTTTGTCTAGGAAATCAGATGAAGGTAGTACTGAAACGCAAATAATGAGATGCCAATTAGGAAGCCAAAAGGATGATATAAGAAACGCACCAAGGTACAACACTAATGATAGAAACACAAAATCACCAGGTATACCAAGGGATAGAGAGATGTGCTTGGTAAGGAAGGGCCTTTAGGGACACTGCTATGTATCAATAAATTCTCTTTGCCCCTCTCCCTCCTCTCTGAATGGTTTTGCCATTGGCAAGAATTGAAGTTTAAGTTTAAAAGTGTCAATTGCATTAAGAGTAGACCTGGCAATCGGGTTGGGTGGGTCAGGTTCGAGTTGGGTTGTCAAATGCTAGACCCTAACCCTAAATGTTCGGGTTAGGGTTGACCCATGGGTCAATTCGGGTCATCCCAAAAAATAATTGATATTTAAAAAAACAAGGAAAATTTACATGAAAAATGTCAAAATTAAAAGAACCTTAAAATTCCAAATATAAAATGAAAACTTGAACATTTAACAATTTAAAGAGTAAACAATAAAAAGTAAAGACTAAATAGAAAAAATTAAAGAGTGGAAACTTCTAACAATGCATAAATAATCCCAATTAGACTTGGCAATTGGGTCTGCGGGTTGACCCATGACCCAACCCAACCCATTTTTCGGGTCGGGTCGGGTCGGGTCATTTCCGCATTCGGGTTGCTGCATATGAGACCCTGTCCCTCTTTTTCGGGTTGGGTTGGGTCGGGTTCGCAGGTTGGGTCAACTTTTTGCCAGGTCTAATTCAGAGGGAGAGAGGCCCTCTAACAAAAATTAATATAACTAAACATAATGAAGAAAGAAAACCGTATTGATCAACGTCTATGCTCATACCAACCTTGTTTGCCCACATAAGTCCGCATGCATTGCACAAAGTCCTCGGCCCAGCTGGTCCGCGGCGCATCATTGGAGTGGACTTTGAGCTAGTGCCACAGTGTTGACATCTACATAGAACATACAAAGATTATTAAAAAACGTGACAGCATAAGGAAATCAAATATAACGCCACCCTAAAATAAAGGGTAAAAAGGACAAAGTTTAAAAAGATAAAAGATAAACAAAGGAAATCAAATATAGCACAGAACTTACATAGTTTCTCGTTGTGGCTCGTCTTGTCCACCTGGTGTACAACTTGATGAACCCATTTCATCAGAACTTACCTTGGACGATGTAAACTGACCTTTTTTGCGTTGCATCCTGATAAAAACATGGTTACATAAATCAAATTTGATTAAAATGATAGCCAATCAAGATAAACATTCCTACAAAACAATGAATTTCCAAAGTTGGTTTAAATGTTTTTTTTTATTTTTTAATAGGTAAACATATATCAAAATTTGCTAGTTAGCAAGGAATATAGACATCGGGAGAAAAATTCTTAGCCTTACATCCATTGTCTAGAAGAAGATAGGTACCTAAGTATGCCTTTTATATACTAATTTCAGGTTCTGAAAAATGAAAAGAAAAGTATACCCACATACACCTGCCTCTATGTGTCAACAGAAACATGATGGATATACTCTCGTGTTGAGAATTTAAATTGTGTAAAACCAATAGCATGCATAAGCCCGACTGTTGTAATGCTGCAAGAAACGAAGCTCTTTGAATTGAACAAAAGAAGGATAAGAAGCATTTGTAGTAGTAGAGGACTGAGATGGATTTTTGCCCCTTCTTGGGGTGCTTCTGGCTTCTGGGGGTATTCTTACGATGTGGAAGAATGAGGTGGAGTGCTAGGAAGAAGTGGTTGGACAATTTTCAATGTCAATAAAAGCTAAATTGATGAATGATGGAAGAGAGTAGGTATTAAGTATTAACAAATGTGTATGGCCCCAACTCATATAGACAAAGGGACGTTTTCTATGAGGAATTAGCTTCAATTAGGGGTTTATGGGAGGGACCATGGTGCCTGGGTGGAGACCTCAATGTTATAAGGTACACAAGTGAAACTAATAACCCAAACCAGACTATAACCACAAGCATGAGGAAATTTAATACTGTGGTGGAGTCTTTAAAGTTATATAAAAATAAAAATAAAACTTCCTACAAGCCTCTTTTACTTGGTCCAGTTTCCAAGAAAATTAAGTTTGTTCAAAATTGGATAGGTTACTTTTGTCCATTGAGCAGGAAGATTTATGGGCAAACCCTAGTGCTCTAAGCACTATCCTTTGAGCCTAGACAAGGACGCTCACCTTGGGGGCCCTACCCCTACACCTTTCAAATTAGAAAATATGTGGTTGGAAGTACCAAAGTTTATTGAGAAAATAAAAGAATGGTGAGATGAAGGTGGAATCAATGTGAGCAATAGAGGGATGAGATTTACAAAGAAATTGAATAGACCAAAAGAAAAAATCAAGGAGTGGAATAAAGAAGAGTTTGGGAGAGTTGAAGAATCAAACGAAAGAATTGCTAAAAGGATTGAGGAGCTAAACAAGAAGGAAGCCCAAAAAGAGATTAGTGTGGAGGAAAGATCAAAAAGTCAAGTTAGAGGAGCTCCTGAGAAAGGAGGAAATCTCTTGGAGACAAAAACCAAGATGTAAATGACTCTTGGAGGGTGATGGTAACACAATATTTTCACTCTGTGCAAATGGAAGAAGAAACAACACGATCTCTAGCATTGAGGTTGAAGGTCAGGAGATAACTTTGTAGGAGGAAATAATCAAAAGTTTTGTGGAGCAATTCAAATCAAACTTTGCCTCTCAAGGAGAAAGGAATACAGAACTAGGGGAGTTGGATTGGATTAGATTACCGGAAAACCAAGCAGCTCTTCTTGTAAGAAACTTCAATGTGGAGAAGGTTCATGAAGCAATCTTTTCAATGGAAAGATCTAAAGCCCCATGACCTGATGGCTTCTCGATGGCATTTTATCATGATTGTTGGGCAATTATAAAAGCTAACTTAATGGAGGCGCTTGCTGAATTCTATCACAAGGGGGAAGTTTCACCAGGAGCAAATGTCACATTCCTACCTCTAGTGCCTAAGAAGAAAGAAGCAATAACTCCAAAGGACTATAGACCTATAAGTCTTGTGGGTAGATTTTACAAAATCATTGCAAAAAAGGTCTTGGCTGGAAGGTTTAAGTTTGTTTTGATGATCTCCCAAAATCAAGGAGCTTTTGTGGAGGGAAAACAAATAATTGACCAAATTCTTGTGGCAAATGAATGTGTCTAAATTGAAAAAGCAAGGAGGAGAAGATCTAATATGCAAGTTGGGTTTGGAAAAAGCCTATAATATGGTGGATTGGAATTTCTTCCTAAGTTTGTTTATAAAAATTGGAGTGGGAAGAAGATGGAGAAAGTGGATAAAAGGACGTATTAGTTCAAAACACTTCTCAATTATGATCAATGGAGTGACTAAGGATTTTTTTTCCCAACTAGAAGCCTCTGCCCCCTTTCTTATTCACCCATATTGCAAAGGTCCCAGGTAGATTGATCGGTAAGACTGATTTTGAAAACCAATTTAGAGGTTGGAGAATTGGAAGGAAGGATCAAAGGAGGTGGTTTTGACTCACTTGCAATTTGCAAATGACATAATCATTTTCCGTGAGGATTGTACAAAACTTAAGGTAAGGAACATGAAAGCCTTAGATGACCGCTTCCAAAGGATATCAAATCTGAAAGTCAATTGGGGAAAAAGCTGTGTGGCAGGGATTAATTTGGAAGAGGAACACACTCACTTGTTGACGGAAATCTTAGGATGTAAGGAAAGAAATTGGCCTCTAGAGTACATCGGTATGCCATTGGGAGGAAACCCAAGAGCAAATAGCTTCTAAAAACCAATAGTGGAAAGGTTTGCTAAAAAGATAGCCTTATGGAAGAGAAGCTAATATTTTATTTCTTTGGGAGGAAGAATAACCTTGATCAAATCCACCCTAGCTAACTTACCCACTACCTATCAACTTTTAGGATCCCAGTTATAGCTAAAAGGCTAGAAAAAATGATGAGGGACTTCTTATGGGAGACAGAAGATGAAAAGAAAAATCATTTGGTGTAGTGAGAATAGATGCGAAACCTAAGGAGCAGGGAGGATTAGGTATTGGGAATCTGATCAAAAGGAATACAACTCTTCTAGGAAAGTGGCTTTGGATATTTCCCTTAGAAGGAAATAGACTGTGGCACAAGGTTATTGAAAGCATTCATGGTGTAGCAAGCAATGGTTGGGATGCAAAATTTGTACCTCACTGCTTCACATTCCCCTTGGAAAGCAATATTTGAAGTATTGCCTACCTTTCTTAATTTTACCTGGTTTGTGTGGGTTGTGGGAACATAGTTCTATTTTGGGAAGACCTTTGGCTTGGGGATGCGCCACTTAAATTACAATTCCCAATATTCTACTCTTCTTTAGCAAACCTTATGGTTGAACCTGTTTGTAGATTTTGCTCTTAGAACATGCTTTAAGCTGGGACTTTGGTTTCAGAAGAGATTCAAGGGATAATGGATGTAACTCCCTTTTGCTCCTACTCTCTCTTCTGGAAAAAGTTTTTTGTATCAAAATCTTTTGGATAGTAGAGTTTGGTGCCCCTCATCTGATGGCATATTCCCTTGTTCCTCCTTCTTTAGCCTTCTCATCAGCTCAAAACCTAAGGGGGTAAATCTCCCAATAAGAGAAATTTGGTGCAAACCAATCCTTCCTAAAGTGCAGGCTCTTTGTTGGGAAATGTAAAAAAGGGATGAGAAATTAAAGGGCATTGGCAAGCTGTATTCTGATGAGTTTGTTGGGTCGTTGTGTAGGTAAAACATGGTATTTATCTCAAAACAAATAGTGCAAGGCCAAATGGGGTTATCAGAAACTCCAAGTGGAGGATCTTGGCAATGTTTTCAAGGTCAAATGGTTTGGGAAACTCTTTGAAGGTTGAACTGTTGGCTTTACTGCAAGGCCTCGGGTTAGCTAACCAGCTGGGGTTTAGGCTGATCGAGGTGGAAGGAGACTGACAAGTAGTTATCTCTTGGGCTAAATCCAACAGACGTATTCCTTGGACCCTTCAGCATGTGCTAAGGGAAGTGGAAAAGATTGCAAAAGAAAATAGTGGTTGAATTTAAGTGGGTTAGAAGGTGTGAAAATGGGTTAGCTGATTCCCATAGCTAAACAAGGGGTTATGAGGCAACAAGCCAACGATTGTTTTGGACATCCATGTAATTTGGGTATGTACTTAGGGGATTGAAACTCTGGTTAAACAAGTTGTATAAATCACTTCTACATTCCAAGTATTATAATAAAATCATTTTCTACTGATCAAAAAAATGTGTAATTAAGTTATCTTGGAATTCTTGATGGGTGACTGAACTTTTCCAGTCTTTGTACTCAATCTATTATCTTTAATTAATGAAATTTATGTTCCTTATCAAAATTTAGAAAAAAAAAAACAACAGTACATGTGCATGCATGTAGAAGCCTAAGTGTAAAGGGGCATTAGAGTACCTCAATATCCTAAATTCCAAAGTGTATATTATGCTCTCTATCTTCATTCTAACCTAATATTATCCAATACTCTATACCACATTTTTCCTTCTTGAGGATTGCAAGAGGATCATATCAAATTGGATATGACTGGATATTGAAGAAATTCAAGGATATCAAGAGAACTGAAATTGATATAAAAATCAAGGGGATGAGGTTTTGGTGCATGAATTTATGTTTTTTAATGTTCCTTGGGTTTTAGTGGAAAAAGGTCTGATTGCAAATTTTGTTATTTAGCTTTTTGCTCACTGCAATATTCATAGAGGTGACTTTTTATAATGCAGATGTAGTCATTTGAATTATAATCACTAATATAAATATACTTTAACTATGAAAAAATAAGGTAGCAACAAGTTAACAACAGGATTTATAGATCTCTACCACCAATCCACAAGTGAGTTTCCGTTCTACAACCCTTTGGGACTAACATAGCATTTTTATTGGTCTAAATTAGCATTTTTTTATGTGATTGTTTCCATCATTTGATCATTTTCTCTCTTCGATTGCAGATGGGTTCCCCTGCAAGATGTTGTAAGCCTATTCAACTCCAACTTTCTGAGGCAGACAAACAGAAAAGGGAGAATTATGTGGACAGCAAGGGCTGCAGTGGTGTGGTCCATTTGGGAAGAAAGAAACCATAGAATCTTTAATGATAATAGCAGGTCTAAGGAGCAGCTGATTGAAACCATAAAAATCACAGATGCGTATTGGGTAAAAATGTTGGAACTCTTTTGAGCTTTTTC